ACTCTGAAAAGGCGTACCTACCTCCCGGTACCAAGAAGAGTTCTGAAATGGAGACACACATCCCTGCCGACTGGCGTAGCGGCACCAAAGCCATGGTCCTAAAATCTATACCTGTCGAAGAGCTGAACACGATCGTGTTTGCTATTCGCGGAAGTCAGACATTCATGGACTGGGCCGTGAACTACAACTCTGCGCCAAGCAGTCCGGCCAAGTTTCTCGATGACCCAGGAAACTTGTGCCATGCGGGCTTCCTCTATGTCGCAAAAAAGATGATCAAGCCAGTCGCAGAGCGGCTCAAAGTTTTGCTACAAGAGAACCCTGCGCGCTCTAATTGTAGTTTGCTCATCACCGGCCACTCCGCAGGCGGAGCGGTCGCCGCGTTGCTATACGCGCACATGATGAGCACCAAGGTTGAGTCTGAACTCAGCTACCTCACCAGCTTCTTCAAGCGGGTGCACTGCATCACTTTTGGTGCGCCGCCAGTCAGTCTGCGGCCGCTCAAGAAGCCCGAAGACAAGCGGCACCGAAAGAGTCTTTTCTACAGCTTCATCAACGAAGGTGACCCTATACCGAGAGCTGATAAGAGCGTGCTCCGAAGCCTGCTCAAGCTGTATGCCAGTCCTGCACCCACCATGGCCTCGAGCTCTGGTTCTGCAACGGCGTCGTCGTCTAGGACCAATGTCTCGCGCTCACATTCTTCATCCCCGCCAAAATCCAGATCCAAACATGGCTTTGCTGCACGACTCTCACGAGGATCGAAAATCTCGTTGGAAACAAACAACACTCAATCATCTTCGTCATCTTCACTGCCCGCTTGGCCAATCCCGCCCTGCACCTTGTCGCCTGCCGGCCGACTGGTCGTATTGCGGCAGAGAGTAGGGACTAAGAGCGAGGACGACGTCGAAGCTGTGACGGTGGACGATGAGATGCTGAGGAAAGTTGTATATGGAGATTTGCTCAAGCACCAGATGACGACTTACAAGAAGCGCATCGAGGGTGTTGCTGTTCGCGCCGTTACCGCAAACGGTGTTTGATGAGACTGTCAAAAACTTTTCTTGACGAATTTGTATGCCTCACGACTTACATGATTACGAATCTTTTTAGAAAAGAAAATGAAAAACATATCCGAGTCTACTCGTCTCAAATCTCCTTTTGAACAGGATACGTGATTGGAGTCATAACCGCGGTATTCATTTCTCCTCGGAGGCAACATGCAAAGTGACCATTCTCCTTATTCAAACAGTGATTTCTCCAGAAAAAAAAATGAGTCATTTTTGCAACATCAACTCTGATCATGCAGGTATATTCATAACCCCAGAAAAAAAGAATCAACGTTGGTATAGTACTAGATCTATATCCCTAGCCTGGAAAAAGGGACGCCTCTCCTGCAGCATCTATGCCATGATCAAATCATACGCCGATTTAGCACTCATAAGCACCAAAACATAATGGGCCATGATACCCGCAGCACCGTAATACCTGCCCTTACCCCCACTCTCCGCACTCCTGGTATACCCCACCGAGTAAAACACGCGATTAACACTCCACGCAAGCCCGAGCGCGGCCGTCGCCATTGGGAATCTCAGGCCGGAAACGAGCATAGCAGCGAGAGCGGTAGGATGGTTTTCGCCAAAGTTCTGGTGAGCGCGTTGAGCGGCGTTGAAGGCGAGCATGGCGGATTTGGAGGCTGGGGAGGCGGTTTGGACTTGTTCGTACGACGCGTATTCGAAGGGGTACGGGATCTTTGCTGCTTTGCGGAAGGAGCCTACGCGCGCGCCGAGCCAGATGCCGATGAAGAAGGTGGAGACGGCGGCGCCGAGGACGTAGCTGGGGCGTGAGGGTTAGCTGGTGGGAGAGGCGAGGGTTGATGGATGGGCTTGTTGTTGGTGGTGCGGGAGTTGGGGAGATAAGGGGGGGGGGGTGAGAGGGGAGGCAATTGGATGATGGGTACGTACCCGTACTCGTCTGGAACCTGGATAATGGCCATGATGTCTGTTGGTGTTGTTGTTGGTGGTGTTGATGTATCTCTTCACGTTCGTCTATTCGCTACGTAGTCGAGAGTTGCCCTTTCCAAATCTTCGTAAGGGAAAAAAAATCGTGGACAATCAACGTTAGGTAGCCAATTCAGCCCTTCTTATACGTCTCTTTTAATTGTTTTTTTGGAGGCGTTGGATCGATGTGGAAATCGGTGGAATGTTGTTGCTTTGAAAGCAAAGGGGGTGGGAAAGCTACCACCTGTTCAGTAGTCGTGTTACGCGGACCAGTTTCGGTGGGGCTGCGGGCGCTGGTTTCCCCCGACTCCATGCTAAACAGCAAGACTCCATCATGCGTTCGGTGCAACATTCTTGCCGATTGCTACCGTACAGCTATGCTGCGGAAAAACATCGTAGTACAGTGTTCTGTATTGTTGGGGTTACATATGTTTTACAGCGTTGTGTGCTGTGTGGCTGGACGGATAGGGTGTGTTTGCAGTGCCCGTCGGACAGAAAGTGTTCCCATTGCGAATTCAGGCGGCCAAGCAGCGTTGAGGGTTGCGAGATCGTGTCACCAAGCGATTTCCTTACATCATCCAACCGCCTTGTTGTAAGGATATGATCTGTTCAGGGTGTTCAAGGGTGTCTTGTAGTAGAAAGTGGTTGATGCAGGTGAGTAGTAGGTGAAATTTGGAGAAAAAACGAACAAGAAGAATGGCGATTTTTGGGGTTAAGTTAAGCTCAAAGACAAGACCGAGCATTGACTGCGGGTGGATATCGTGATTCCTCGGCAATATGACGACAGCTTTGCTGACCGATAACGTGATGACATTAGAACGGACAAATCCGGACTTGTTCTCTTTGGTGTGTCATAGATGTATTCATTCGAAGCAGGCTAACCATCTACTCTGCTTGATCAAACAAGCTTGTTCTTTTCCAGGACGGCATGCGAAGCTTTCGTACATAGTATGATCCATGTGTTAAGCTTTCACCACAGATGACCCCATCTTCTCATCCTCGACTACCTGTGATTCCCGACTCTTCTAGTGCCTCCATAGTACCTTGGAAATCCTGTCGCTCGTCAGCTTCTATTCCACCTAGGATACTGCTCACCCCAGAAAGTGTACTTACAGGTAGTGCAGCAAGCAAACACATCAAATTTCCTGTGACAAAGATGGCCCATGAGGCAGACGCCTGAACGACTAGCAGTTTCGTATACTTCCACAGCGTCCCCCTCAAAACACAAGTGTACATGTGAGTAACCGCGATTGGTAAGGCGAGGACCGTCTGCGCAATGTATCGACACCTGGAGAGAAGCTTCAAGAAGCCAGGGCTGTAGTTGATATCTTGAGCCCGACTCTTGGGCGACTTGACGTGTAGTTGAAAGCCTCGAATGATGCATAGAAGAATAACGGCAGCTGTGATGTTGAGAGGTGTATGGTAGCGAAGTACAGCAGAGCACTCAATCCCCCTGTCAAGCAAGCGGCTACACCGTCGCTTCATATTCTTGTTTGTCATGGAAAAAGAAGCTGTCCACCGCGCTATCTGTGCGATACCCTGCGAAGTCATGTACTGCACACAGAAGAAGAGTGCAGAGTGGAGCATAGCTTTGGTAGCGACAGTTACAGGGGAATGACGGGTGTCGCGAACGAGTTTGTCTAGGAATTCAGTTGCTGAATTCCCACCCCTGCCATCAACGATCTCGCAATGGTATGTCTGGCGAGTTCGTCTGCCGATCCAGAAGCGAAACGTGTCGTAGACTACAGAGCAAACGGAGACCAGGAGTAGAGACAAAAGAGTATCGTTGATGATTGTAGTAAAATTCAGTGTGATGTACAAGGCAGGCTCTAAGACGAGGTTAGTTGACTGTAAATTACGAAGCAAAGCGTATAAATGTACTTTCTTGCCATAGCTCACTCCACACCGATCGCGTGGGAGAATGATCCTGAGCCATGTCGAGTGTGAGAATCAGGAAGGAACAGGGTGGATAGAGATCGTGGAGAGTGCAGGGTTGGCTAAGTCGATGATTTTTATGTTCGTTTGGAAAAGTGAAGCAAAGGAGGTTCTAACTCCTTTCACTTTCACCAGTCTATTCTCGCTCATACATGCAAAAGTGAAACCTGACACCCTGCTCCTCAATCCCACCCTCCTCAACGTTCTCACCGGTGAACTCTTGAATCTCGCCCCGGTCTGCATTCCTCCATATTGTTGTCTCATCTAAATTAATAGGAAAGAAAGTATCGCACTCAAACTCCTTCTCGATCTTAGTAAGCAACACACGCTTCGTTTGCGGAAGTTCAAGCGCCGTTCGGTATATGCTAGCCCCACCAATAACAAAGATTCTATCAATCTCGAGGTCTGTAGACGGTAAGTTGCTCTTGTCCTCGCGCTCAAGCTGAGCAATGGCGTCGAGGATACCAGAGCATACAAGCGGGCCTTCGACTTCTGTCTTCTTGTCTAGCTTGTTTGCAAATTCTTCTGGCTTCGAGGTGATGACTATGTTGAGGCGATCCTTGAGAGGCCGGAATTTAGGCGGTATGCTTTCCCATGTCTTGCGGCCCATGAGTACGGCATTGATTTTCCTGCGCCCTTCCACTGAGGCAGAGGGCGACGTACGCTTCGTCACTCGTGCGAAGAAGCCCATTTCCTTTTTGAGTTGGGGCCACGGCAAGACGCCATCCTTTCCTATGCCGAGACTCGGCGTGGCAGCAAGTATCAAAGTGAGTGTTGGGGGTTTAGGTGGCATAGATGATGCGTCTTGTTCCTGGGTGGCTGAATTTTTCTTTGATGTAGTTGATGTGTCCAGATTGACGGAAGGATGCTCGTTAGACATTGCGTGGCGTCTTTCTAGAACCAAGACGACTCTAGAGTATCAGAAACAATTGAATGTAGCGTCGAGACGAAAAATAAGCGGAAGGCATAGACGTGGGTCGTGATATCGACGTGAAAGACATGCGGGGCCAAACGCGCTAAGTGACGCGAAGGAACGTGACTTTCAACGTCAGTCCTACCTGCCAAACATACCGTCTAGACATAGCCAGCCATGCTCACAGAAACAGAACCATAGAAGAACATGAAGTGACTTCGATAACGAGTTGGCATTCCCGAACGAAGACTACGAGATATAAAATACACAGGCCGGATGATGCCCTTGATCATGCACAGAAAACCCAAACACCCAAACGCACGGTGATAGGCCCGACACACAGCGCTGCATCATCCCATCATGCCACAGTCCCAACCCGTCTCGCTCGCCGGGAAGGGCGACGATACTGAACGCCTAGATAATTACACCTTTCGCAATGCCGCTACCCTATTGAAACACATTTGCAAGAAGAAGCCAAAAAATCCCGCACGCACCCATTTCATACAACGTCATCTGTGTCTCCTCGAGTTTCCAAATGGGTATCTTTTTAGGATTGTTTAAAGCGCATCGCGCTGCAAAGATGGGAAGCCTTTCCTTCTCCCTTGCAGCTCATCTTCGTCTAAGAACGGGGGCGTGCGATACTATTCGCCCGCGCCTCCCTCACCACTACTTTTCAGTGGAATGGACAACGAGATCTTCTTTGGTGTTCCACCACCATCCTTGCCGGCATTGACATTGGGCGACTTCCGGCGCAAGTTCCGCAGGCTTCCTGAGCTTGCGTTGCTTGATGTTGAAGCACGGCGCTTTGGACCTGCAGATGTGGAGATGCTTGCAAGAAGCTCATCCTCCTCATCCTCTTCTCTACGGCGCTTTTCGGATATACGTTCCGGCGGCGATCCTGCAGAAGCAGAGTTTGGTGATGGAGTGGTTTCTGGGGTTTGCGTCTCTGCTGAAATCTTGTGCACAGAGGCCGGCAGCCCGGTAGTGAGATCATCCATATCGGCATCGTCGGCGTCGTCATCCGGGTAATTAACGAGGGGGCGCACCGGCGATGCTCCATTGAGGGCGATTTTGCCAGTAGTGGCAAGTTGTTCATCCTCATCGTCTGATGTGTTGAAGTATGCTTCCTCGTCCGCATCTACGTCCTTCAAGCCTTGACCCCACTTGCCACCATTGACATTTGCGGGATGTCGCGCAGGTGTGTCACTGTCCACACTTGTGAATGAATTGTCGAGCTCCTGAGTAGTGACTGGCTCATGGTTCTGGTCATACTTGAGGATCAGATTTTGGAATGTGTCGACATAGGTGACAGCTTGTAATCTCTCCCTGTACATCTCGACCAGATGCTGAACAATCATCTTGATGTTTTCGCGCCTGATGAATTCAAACAACTCCAGGCATGCCGAGTTGAGGAGATTGTCGCGAGGCATCGTATCGAATAGGATCTGCAAGATGGGCTCGAAAAGGTGGTGTTGGATGATTTGGCGGTTATGTGTTTCGTCGTGGAAACCGAGAACAGTGCGGAAGTACTTGAGCGCAGCTGGGACAAGTCAGTAAACAAGACAGAAACAATTGTGGAAGATGCCTACTAAGTTTCAAATGCTTCTCCGGACAGGCCATAAGTTGTGCTACCCGCATTGCGAGGCCTTCGGATAGAATGAAGTATTTGCTGCGGAAAGAATGTTGACGGATGAAGAAACAAAGGACCTCGACCAGGTGGGCGTATAATGACACTTCTTGCATTGATAGATCTTCCACTGAACAATGTTAGCCATCTTCGCCTACAGGGACCAAGAGTTCAACTTACTAGACTCGCGGCCTTCGAGATCTTTGAGAGGCTGGAAGAGTTTCCGTGCAGACTCGTCGTAGAAATTTTGAATAAAAGAGTCAGTTTGCGGTATGGACGGAAGTTGACCCCTCATCTTAGCAAGGAAGTCACTGTTAGTTCGCCCAAGCGCCTCTATCGACGCCGAGTTGGCATTGGGGTCTAGCAGAATCTTAATCGCATCTGCCATCTGCGCCTTGACTCCCAAGTCCACTTCAATCAGAAGTAACTCAATCAGGGTATCGGTAAGTGGCTTGGTCTTTTCCTGAATGGCCTTGAAAATGTAGCTGCGCACCATGAGAGCATCGTGATCGATCAAAGACACAAGTATGTCTGTGCCTGCTACTCGAACTGAAGCATCTTGGTGTTTGAGCGCAAACTGTATGACTTCCAACAGGCCACCACTAATGAAGTTTTGATAAAGCTGCGCCCTAACATTTGCCTGCAGGCTCTTTGCTATGGCGCAACACTGCTGAATGAACAAGACTGCATCCTTTTTTCTCGAGAGATTCTGCTCCTTGGGCGAGAAGATGCCAAAAAGCTCTTTCAAAAAGGGGCCGTTTGCTTGAAGGTGCTGGACAATGTCGACTTGGTGGAAGAAGATGAGGGAGTTGAGAACGCTAAAGGTGGGGTCGTCGAGGATGCGTGCAAGCACCACGTCTTTGAGGTACTGTAGGCGATAAGTGTAATGAATTTTCCGCTTGATATTCTCGTCTTCAATCTTGACAACCTCTTTGAATTTGGATTCGTCGTCGAGGTATTGTCGGTGGTTCGCTTTGTGCAAGGGAAAATCCGGGTCGTCTGCAAGAAGTCAGCAAGCATTGAGGCAAGGTTGTCTGTGGCAACACTAACATTCTAGAGCTCCAACAACTCCCAGGACAACGGGGTCTGTCACTACGTATTCGATAATGGCAGTGTCGTTGAGTAGGATGAGCATCTTCATGATGCTGCATAGCCGGTGGAGATCCGATACGCTTTCGAGGTCTTCGGCCATGTCGACAAGCGGAATCAGTTTCGGTATGTAATCCTGAGCAAGGATGAATTTGGCGAGGGCTTCTCGACCTCCTGGGGTAGAGTTTGCAGCGCGCATATGGTTTTCAATCTCGTGAAGGTTGCCGAGATCTGGGTTTGGGAGAAGTATGGGATTAATATGGTCCAAATCGTCTGAAAGACCATCGTCTGGGTCAGCATTAGCCTGCTTGAAGCTATGTGGATGGATCCAACGTACCCTGCGCTAAAGTCTGCAATCGCGATTGCACTTCGTTGACAAAGTCCCTGTATGGAGTCAGCGCGGTGCTCAATTGACCGAGGCAGTGGATGCCTACCATATGCTGGCACAGCCCTCGGGCTCCTGAAAACTGAGGGCCATGTCGGTGCCATTTTGCTCAGTCCATACGATGAGGGTATCTGTGGCGGATTAGCTGCCGGCTTGTGTTTGGGTAGCGCATAGCACGCGCATACCTTGCTGTTTCTGATAGCCATCATCCTTGGAGATGCGCGTTTCGAGGAGCTGTCGCGACTGGTCGTCTTCGGACAAGACTACAATCCTTGCTTCCTCCTGCTGTCGAGTGACGCCAGTTAGCATGTGTGAGCGGCAGACATGGGCGTGAGTGTAGGTGTGGACACGAGCGCAGGCGCGGGCGCAATGGGGCTACACGTGTAGCAAGGAGGTGTTGTGGCGAGGGGTGGGGAGACGTACATTTGCTACAACACCCTTGCAGAAGCCGGTGCCTCTGTCGAACCAGTCATTGTTCTTGAGCTCGTAGACTTTGACGCGCTTCCGTTCGCTCGCCGGTGGTGGTGCGACGGTTGCCATAGCCGGGGGCGGCGTGTCGACAGTCTCCGGCTAGGGCAGAGGACCCTCCGGAGGGACAGCGCGCTGTTGCGATGGCTTGCGCAGGAGAGCGGGGGAGCGTCGGCGATGGGGGGAGATGGGGGGCGGCGTGGTGTTGTGGTGGATGCGGTGCTGGCAGATGCGGGTGAGGAGGCTCGGCGACGCTTGTAGGCTGGCGCAGCGGCGCGGCAGCGGGGACGCGACAGACGAACACTCGACGATGGGCCAGCGTGGGCGCGCAACAGTAAGCCGGGGAGTCTGCGATGGCGGCGTGACAGGCAAGGTGATCAGCCTCGGACACTTTTGCAGGCGCGTCGTGGGTCGCAAAGTGGAAGCGGGAGAGCACAGGGCCGGGCTTGGGCACAGTGCATGCACTAAGATAAGAGCCTAGACCCGAGTGGCGGCACCAGAGCCTCAACACCACGCTGAACCCTGGGGATAGCGGCGATGGCTGCGTGGGCGAGGGCACGAGGCGGCGGCGGGTTGCGGGGGGTGCTTTTGCAGCTGTCCAGCGCTGCGAGCGTGTGGAATGAGTGCAGCTGTCGCCGCCCATGGCCAGATGCGCGCTCGCCTCACTGACGCAATGCCCTTCACTGCTGCTCATCAACACCACGCAGTGCTCGTTCATCTTGTTGTACCTACACAGGTCCATGTACATGTACATACATGGTGGTGTACATGGTATGGACAGCGCCCGCCTGTCGCTTGTCACGTCGTTGCATCCACTCACCCACGCGCCCACGCACTGTGCGTACCGTCGTGTGCTGCCGACAGCAAGAGCAACAGCAGCGGAGCAGCCACCAAAGGAGACAGTCCGTGTATGATCCGGTCACTCCGCTCCTCATGCCCATTCACTCTCGCAGCTCGCGCGATTGCAACTCACCTCACCGCCATCCAATACTCGCACGCCGCCCCCAGATTCCCCTGGGATATTTTCATGACGTCCCCGGCCAAGCCACGCGATCGACTCGCCCGGCCCGCTCTGCATGGACGCAGTGCTGCAAGGCTGTGGTCCCGTCGAGATGCAGGTATTATACGGCGTACACATCTACTTCGATAGTACTGCTAATATAGCCGCAAAAGCATCGTCATTATCAAACATTGTCCAAAACAACCTGGACGAGCTGGAGCCACCTGGCCTGCCGCACTGCCAAAAGCACGTGTGCACCCATCCATGTATTGGCAAGCCATGCACCTAGTACACATGTACTCAAGTACGTACCTACGTAGCCATGTACACATGCAGTACATACAGTCTATACCTACTACATGGCGACTCGCCACCAAAAGCACAAGTGCCATCGCTATTACCCCGGCTGGCGTCATGGCGAGCCTGGCCTAGAGTAGCCAAACGCTTCCCCATACATACCACGTACATGCGCCATGTCCATTTCGCCAGCCTCTGGACTACTAAGGGCCAGCCCGAGCACGACGGATACTATGGATTCTGTTCGTTTTGGTCCGTCTGGAGCCTCGTCGTACAGAATTAGGCCGTAGGCGCGTGGGGGCAGCCAATGGCCAGGCGTGCAGCATGGCGCCACACGCCCGCGGTCATTGCCGCATTCGTTTTCGCATGGCTGGTGGTGCGGCCAGATTCATTTCCCTTGTATTTGCGAGCTGAGCTGTGCTGGCCGGGCGCCAAGCAGTCGTGGGTCGTTATCTTCGCTTGCTAACTCTATTCAGCCCTCCAGCCTGCGCCTCGAGCATCGGTGCCGTATCTGAAGCGCTAGAAGCAGCGGCGCATGGGCGCAAACCCAGTTACCACGCTATCAAAGCGCGACCCGCCCGTCTGTTGAGACATGATTATCCACTATAGATTAGACGGCCTGCTCCCTTGAGCTGCCTCTTGCAGTCCCGCCTGCTCCGGTTCTGCATCCATCTTGCACCGTACAATCTCACCCATAGCAATGATAATGTCGAATCTGTCCCTCTTGACCCAGCCACAAAGCACATCCATCGAGCCATTCCCCCCCGCCGCCCTCACAAAGCCACCCAGACCAGTCTCTGCGCCTTGTCCAAACTTTTCAAAGCCCATAGCAGCCGACCCTCTACCGGCAACCGATTCAAAGTCTGTCAGCGCCGACCAAGTCCAGGCCAGACTCAAGGCTCACCGGAGATCTGTCGGCGCCCATGAAGTCCAGGCTAGAATCCAAGCTGCAAGAAGGAGCCTGACTGCTGCACAACCCCCGACTGAAGCTTTCCAACGCAAACTCGACCAGTCTCCCGACCTCATCCACCCAGCCTTGCGCGCCAGGAGCGGAGTGACGCCAAATGGCGACCGTGCTCGTAGCCTCAAGTCGAGAAGCAAGCAAGATCAATCCATCGACGCAGTCATACGCCGCTTGTCTGCCGAGATCGATAGTGGACAGCTGAACCTCGCGAGAGATGTGCCTCCAGTGCCTGCGTTGCCCGCATTCCACTCGCCTGCATCCGGCCGTCCGCGATCATATCAACCCGCAAGTAGCAGGTCTTCTGTGACGAAGAGGCGAAGCCCGCTTTCGATTGTGTCATCTGCAGACGGTATGTAGGGCAAACTCAATTCTACGCGTCATGTTGGACTGACAGTTGCAGACTCCGAGGAAACTCCATGCCATACCTCAGGACAGACGTCGACGCAAACATCCAGGCAGACATCGAGGCGAACCTCTACCTCAGCCTCTTCTCGTACGCACCCTATTCCTGCCAATCTATGAAATTACTTACACGCCACACAGAAACCTCCAAATCCGACGACAGCAACGACCTAGATGATGACGACAAGCCCGCAAAGATCCGAGTGATTAGTCTGGAATCCCACAAAGCAAGCCACGTCCAACAGCAACAACAACAATCCGCACGTCAGTCGTCGCCTTCAACATCATCATCATCACCACCAACCATCTCCCACTCCAAACCCCAACGAGTTAAGAGCCGCAGCCCGTGGCACACAATTTCGCGACGACGAATACTTTGCTTTGTTTAACGACTACCCATCTTGCACCATGTTTTTGTTTTGTTTCTCCATGTCCATGTACATACAAGGCCGCGTGGGCCACAAAGATATATTTCCTTGAGTGTTTCTTTTGTTTTTACGGTCATAGCGGCGCACAGTATACTCGGCCTTGTTTTGGCGCCGGTTTGGTTTCTGCATCATGAGCCTGTTGGATTTGAGCGACTACAGGGGGGCATAAATAGCGCGGGAGTTTTGGCGTTTTCCTACGTGTTCCAGTAGGCGAGATTACTGAGCGTTTTCTGTCGCCAATGCTGACGACTAGCTACACACATACATAGATAGCACGCACGCAACAATGTACATGTCGGCAATTGCACAACCCGCATTGCCTCGCTTAACGCAGTTGTTCTCGACATAAGCCTTGATAGCGCTTTCGGAATATTGGCGCAGCTGAGAGCACACAATCAGTAAGTACGTGTCCCCTGTTCTGGAATTCGGGCATGCTAGGGCCATGCAAGCCACCAGCCACACACGGGACGCCTTCCGAACCCGGCCACAATAATAGCATGCTGCCAAATCCAGCCCGACGATGGGCCAACTGTAGCCAGAGGCACCATGACAGCCGCCTCGAATAGGTTAGAGGTTGGTGTCAGGGTGCGGCGTTCCCGAGCCCATCGCGAGGCCAGGCAGCCACGCAAAGGAGAACGTGCTCACGGCTGCAGCTTGCTAAGTTTGAGAGTATCCAAGTGCGTATCCAGCTGGGCCTGGAAAGGGCACGTTTGACACCAAAGCATCGGCAGTTGGGCCCAATGCCGAAACGCTTTCCACATGGTCTGCCGACGAAAAAGCACACAAAAAAGTCCCTTGGACGCCGTGCATGTGGGCGGAAACTGGTTCGGGGTCTCTGACGGCGGTGCACGCACAACACAAGCTAACTAGCACATGGTGCCGACTGCGCGACCCGCTTGAACGTCCGTTGAACGTCCGCAACAACGTTTGGCCTAGCGGTAAAAATCCCCTTTCCGCGAGCTCTCGATGCGCCCAGCAAATGGGTACGTGACACCTTGAAAGTTGACTCGCTAGTGATTTGTCAAACTCTCCACCACTTTGCCGAGCACACATCAGGAGGACTACTGGCAGACAAATAGATAGCGCCATGTTCCCCATGACCTGGTCCAGAGCACTATAGCCGGGGATTAAATTGGCTAATTCTACGGTCCCAGATTCGCGACACACCAGGAACCCTGTAGCACGTCATGTCCAGGAACCAGTCAGTAGTGCATTACGACAACCGGATTTGATCAGAATGCGACTAAGACTGCCATGGCAAATCCAGCAAGCCATGAATTGGCATCATCTCATCTATCTCGGGCCATGTGTAACTTGAGCATAGAAGGAAAACAGGACATGCTGCTGATACGAAAGCGACTGCAGCCGCCCCACCACAGCTGCATGGTCAGCCCTGTCCGCCGCACGAGCCATGAAAATCCCGAATGCTTGGTGACAATCACTACTTCCTTACTTACAGCGAGATGCACAGACCGCCCTTGGGCCTGCTATCGATAAGGCTTGGGAGCTTGGCAACCGTGACTGACTGGAGCTCCTTCCTCTCATACTCCGCCCTCCATCCTTACCTCTCTTGTGTCTCAATACGCCACCATGAACCCGTCAGAGCGCACAAAAGAGGCGCTCCTCGGTATGTTTCCCCAGTCTTTCCCCGCACAGGCGTGGGGCTAGTGTAGCAACACAACCTGGCCGCCCAAGTCATCATATCCCCCCAATACCTCGAATCGAGTCCTTACTGATGCTACCTCAGCAAAGACAGAAGCATTATGCAAGTCCATTGTGGACAATCGTAGAGATGACCCCTGGGGCGGCGATGGCTATCTATCTACTATACTCCGGACTGTCAAGATGCACGAAGCCACTGAATACTCCTCGGTACTAAATAAGACCGAGTATGAGCCTGCACTGGATTACTCAACCTCGGCACACAAGGAGCTACTGATCAAAGAACAAAGCGCTGCATTGGTAGGTCATGTGCGCGTGATTTTGCTCAAAGCATTGCCCACAGTTGCTATCCTCGCAAACAGTGCAACCAATGCTCTGCTAACACCAACGGATAGATTAAGACCGCCCAGGACATCTCGACCCTCATCCGTGATTTACAGGAACTCTGGCTCTTCGGTGGCCTTGATACTCTCGCCGATCCTGCAGACGAAGAGGCAAACCGCAAGAAAGCTTTAGCGGTTGCGGAGATGATTGAGACTTTAGCAAAACAGGGGCCTGCTGACGTGCGAAAGAACGACGCTGGCCTAGTCAAGGAGGAATCAAACGGCAGAGGAGAGTCATGAACGTGGCAGCATTTATACTCGATTGGGTAACCCGTCAAAGTCAGTACGATGAGAAAGCGATCCGAGAATGCGCTCTACACTCCGAGAAAAAAACACTTGCATTGCAGGGCTATAGAGGCAACACATAGCCGCATGAATGTGTGCCTCACGGAATAGCTTTCCCTAACTAAAAAGCAGCTGCAGTTACGAATGGCCTATAGACATAAATGGGTAGTATGGTGAACGGAGTGACCTCCCAGTGGCCAAGCTCATGTTACCTCACAACAGCCCTCTACCATTGAACTAGCCATACCATCATTCTTTCGAGGTGAAACAGCCACCTTGAAAGGCATGGTGGCTGTTATTGATATTGAAATGCAAATCTTCTGCTTAGTGCTTTTGAAGGGTTATTGAATCAGATGAGATACTAATACATCAACTACAAATCTAGCGTGCATTCAGCCACAACATGGCAAGCTTCTGAAACAGATTCCTGTGCTTGTGTATTGCCCAAACACTTTATTGTGGCTCTGATATCATATACACCTGTTAGCCAGGCCGTTGGGAAGAGGTTAAAGTTCTCGGGTCCAGGCTAGTGAAGGTGTGTCAGGCCGTCCCCCTCTTCCTTCCCCCTTTAGACCGGATAAGGGTTAGACTTGATCGGTTGGGACTTGCACTTGTCGCCCGCGGGATCTCCGGTGAGATGGACCTTGTTCCGGTGCTGATGTGACTTGTTGTTGAGATCCAGAAGTAGCTCCGTGGCGTTTGTGGCTGCTCGCAAGATAGGGATTGAATGGGCATGTGTGGGCAGGGGGGGGGGGGGGGGGGGTGGAGACAGAGACAGGGCAGGACCCGTAACACAAACGATCGGCAGGCGGGTAAATAGCCATGGTAACGCAAGATTCAATTCAATAGATAGATGCCATATGTGATATTGACGCCAGTCCCAAACCACGCAGAGCCCCATTGATGCATGCACGACTCCCGCGCCCCCTCTTCCCTCTACTCGTCTACCCTGATCTTCATGCCAAACTCATTCAACGTATTCACGTATTCGTCACCTAGCGTCGCCGGCGTCAAAATACCACCTCCCAACCTCCCAGCCTCTGTCTGGTCAAGCCTCCCCCTGAGCATCAGCTTGGCAGCCGCGCTCAGCGTAATGGCCGTCGCAGCATAGCCACCATGAGCGACTTCTAGATTGGCGACTACCTTTTTTCCATCTTCGGTGCAGCCTACGCCACGGTAATGCATAAAGTCCTTCTTCATGCTTTCCCTGGACGGTCCCTGGCCCGGGCTGGGAATCACCATCTTGAAGAGCGGCTCGACGACCCATCTTGTTAGGGGAAAAGCGAGTAAGATGGAGATGGAGGTAAGCACCACCTTCTGAGCGAGACCAGCAAAAAAGCTTGGTGCGCGCGCGTACTCGTTGAACCGGAACCGGGGGCCGTATTGCAGTGTCTCGTCGCCTGAGGATTGGTAGAGGCCCCATGAGCGGTGTGCAATGCATTCATCAACGGGAGCCATCAATCCGGTGGTTTGAACACCGCCCAGCTCGGGAATCATCTTCAGGCCAACAAGACTATACGGAAAGCTTCCTGCAGGCGGCGCGGCAACCTTGTCCGCCTTGACCGGTGACAGCGAGTACGGATGCATTGATTTCGCTAAATGGCTGAGCGAATAGTTTTTGAACAGCTCGAGCATGGTAAGCGAGGTGCCGCCACTAATTCCAGACTTGAATCTGTACAGCGTCATGATGGCGCGCTCGCATGCAGCATTGTACCGCTTGCGCACCTCTCGCGCAAGCACGTACGCCATGATGTCTGCAGGAACAGAGTCGAGGCCGCACTCTGGAATGATGATGGTCTTGTTCTTTTGGGCAAGCGCATCGTACTTTGCAATCATGTCGTAGATCCAGGGCACCTCGCCCGTTGAGTCGAGGTAGTGCGTGCCGTTGTTAACGCAGGCGGCAAGGACGGGCTCGCCATAGTGCATAAATGGGCCTACAGTTGTGATTACAAGTGTAGTCTTTTTGGCAAGTGCGTCGAGTTGGGATTGCTCGAGCTCGCAGGTTTCGATGGCTGGGCAATCGTCAGTTTTCTTTTCTTTTCTTTTTCCTTCTCTCCGTCACATGGTTTTTTTGTCACCACGGAACATTTTCGTCACGTACCTGGCTCTTTGCGATCGGGCCTCAGTTCGGACAATTCCTTGACAACACCCTGTAGCTTCTTTGCATTGCGTCCCGCGATGGCCCACCTGAGGTCATCAGGCAGATGTGTCGTGATCCATTCGGCGACGAGTTTGCCCGTGTATCCAGTGGCTCCCAGGAGCACCAACTCGTACTGCCGCGACTCTTGAGCCATTGTGCTGTAAAATTTATTTACTTTTTTTTGGCTTCGAAACAGGAAAGTTGAATGGATAAATGATGGGAATGAAGTGGTGGAGGGAGATGGTGTTATATCAACAGGAGCAAATTTCACATTCACGACTACGACTACTGTCATCGGACATGACCCTTCTTTTGGTACTCTCTGAGGTCATGCCGAGGTAACCAGGCGCCGGCATGGGCGATGTCATCCCTTTTTTTGCAGCGCATTCTTCTCAACAGTACGACGCAAGCAACGAATGCGATGTCCTGTGTGAATATACCAAAGTCTAGCGACGCGATGCACGATATGGCTGTGTGCAGGACTGCTCGAAAAAGGGTAAGCTGAGGGGCGTGTCCAAGTGTACCTGGCAACAATGGTCCATGTCACAAGCGGTTAGTGGGCTTGGCACACAGATGCTGGAATCGAAGAATACCCCTCCGAATCGACGGGCAGCAAAATTCTCCTCACCGCTGTCCATCTTCTTCTTCTCCACCAGGGTTGTCACGATTCCGATTGTGTGTCAAACAAGATTTTGCGGCTTTTGCGCTTGTTCTTACCGGATTGGCTGCAGCGCATACAAAGAGAGCTGGGTAACCTGGTCAGCAAGCGCGGTTGGTGGAGACTAGAAGATGTTTTTTTCGATTCAACAACCACCCATTGCCTTGCTGTGTCGCTAACTTGACGGCCATGTGTAGGGCAGCTAGAATGGATCTAGTGTGCGATTTTGAGTGGCTGCCTGCAGGCTTCACATTGTTCGTGTTGCGCAAGACGATAGCTGTAGAAATATAGTAAGAGCCACGCGTTCAACTTTATCGTCTGCGGAGAGAGAGAGAGATACATGCGCACAAAGGCTATCGAACGCGAATCTCCCCGAACATGATGATAAAAAGATAATGATTGGCAGTACCGGCACCTGCCCGATTTTCGCATCGCACTCGTACGTGTTTTGCGTATTGCATGGGCTGGCATTGACAGTTCTGCGGAGAATGTACCTGAGACGGCATCACGATACTAAGTATGCACCAAGGACTGGGCATAGCTGCGGTAGCTTCCGCTATCTTATCTGCACACCTCGAGTGGCCATCCGGCATCCAGAATAGGTCATCAGACTCGAAAGGTTATTATCAATGTCGTCTGCCGTATCACCTTCCCCTTGCAAGACTGCGTATGCACATTGGGAAGACTCTAGTACCACCCTGGACATAGTAGTCGGGACCCATAACAGAAGCACTTTAAGGCCCCGGTGCTACATCTGGAGAAGCGAGCGCAGCATAGCAGAGCGGCCTGGCTGAAACATGTTTGTCTTTCCGACTCACCACTGAGCGACGCGGGCAAGTCACATGTGCACACCCGCGCAGGGTAGCTGGACACGTAGTGAGGTACAGTAAGGAACTCTGAAGACCGACTGAGCTTGTAGGGCTGCGACAATTGGGCAGGCTGACGGCATATACATAGAATACGATCAGACGGTACGGACCCAAACTGCACTCTGTACCCACTTAGTGCCCCTCCACCAAGCACCTGTCACGAGTTTCCGGGGTTGGCGCGACTGCCTGTCGAGTGTGGCTGCTGCAGGGTAGTGAATGATCAATGATCCGCCGGCCAAGCCACTAGCGTCCGCGTACTTAAACCACGGTCCCCGCTCTGTCTACCTGACCATCTTCCCAACTTATGAATCGCGTCGACGAGTACATTCGTTCCTTTACTTCGAAACACGACACCAATGGCCGAGACGTGCATAGTCTGCCTCGGCGATCTCGTCCCCCGAGACGACGGCCCTACCGCCACCGTACCACCGCTCGCGACCAACTCCCTTGAGAATAGTGCTGATGTCCCAGCCGGACTCCAACACGATGCCAAGAACAAAGACGTGGTCGTATCCTCTGTCAAGGACGAGGACATGGTAGCACATTTGCTTCCATGTGGCCACGACCTGCACAATGACTGCCTCAAGCCTTGGGTCGAGCGAGCGAACAGCTGCCCTATATGCCGAGCCAGTTTCAACATGGTCGAGCTCAGCGCATGCGTTGGAGGTATGTTTGTCCTGGATACTACGGAGCTCTGCAGTCATGACGTTGTTTTCGTTGCCTGGTAGTAGCCTGGCTACTGGCTAAATGGTCAGTCGAGCACAACACAACTTCTGCCCATCCTTATGCTATTGCGCCGCATCACATGGATTCGAAACGACGAATTGCCGGCTGACATTTGTATAGGCCCTAAGATTTCCGAATATACTGTCCAGGACAAGCAGCAAGTCGCAGACATCGATCCATCCATGATCATCGAGGAGGACTATACCCTCGAGGATGATGGGAGTTATGATGCATGTATGGTCTGCGATGAGTTTGGTGACGCGTCACAACTCATGTACTGCCACAGCTGTGAGCAACTATGCCATGTCTTCTGCGCCGGGCTTGACCGGATGCCCTCGCGTGGCCCCTGGTACTGTCAGGGCTGTGTCGAGAACCCCAGTTTGCTCGAGGCTGCATCCAGACGACGACCTGCTATCCGAGGCCCTGCTGCCTGGATTAATGGTAGAAGCCGTGTGCCCCGCCACAATCAAGCCCCTGATGAATGGGTAGGAGTCTGGCAAAGCGTTTGGGACCGCCTACAGTTCGACATTGAATTTCCCTTTGACGAAGAAGAGCAGTCTGAGAACCAGTCTGACGTTACGCGCCGCGAGGATCGCAGATGGGAGGAACGCATGCGGGTAGCGCGGCGGGCAGGAGCAGGCAATCGATTCCAGATGGTCACTGATAACGTTGTCACTGGCAGACGCCGCAACTCCAACCTAACAGCACAACCCATCAACCGAACACTACATCGCGACCCGCCAAAGACGCCAAAAGATCCCGAATCACAGGAAGAATTACGCGCATGGAACCAGTTCGAGAAGGCTCGCGAACAACTCGCCCAGGCCGAGGCACAACCTGCACCTAGTGTGGCGAGCACAAGCAGTCGACGGGCACGCAAGCGGAAGTCTATTGATTCTTCTGCAGAGTCGGAGCCTCGCGAGCAGAAGCCAGAGCGCAAGCTGAAGCGTCCTCGGACACGTATGCATGTGGACAATGGTGAGTCGTCAGCGGCGGCGGCTCGTCGCAATGCCGCTGCGCATGCGCCTGCAGCTGCTGTGGCATCATCGCCACCAGCTGCAAATGGCGAATCATCTGCCCCTGCTCCTGGCTTCTTGCAATCTCTCTTGCAAGAAGTCGAGGTGGATCGGTTTGCCGAGCGCGATAAGGAGATTGCCGCCCCTCAGCCTCGGCGCATCATTGTTGAGCGTGCTTGCTCGCCACAGCACTCATCACCAGGACTGTCTCCCGTCTATCATACGCTCCCTGGCATGACGACACCGCCACCTTTGAATCTTACTCGCACTGCGTCACCTGCGCAAAAAGAGGCCCAACTGTCACCCACTTACTCACCATACTCGCCCGCAGACGATGATCGCGCTGGTCGCCGTAAGCTCGCGCATCGCTCTGTTGGTCTTAGCAGCCCGCCCCGCTCCAAGGATTCGTCACCTATCCGTCCATCACTTTCCTATTCGACCAAGGCTGAACTGCAGCGCATGGTAACTGCAGTCTTGAAGCCGTTGTACCTAAAAAAAGAAGTTTCAAAGCAGGAATACACAGACGTGAATCGCGATGTATCACGCTTGCTGTATGAAAAGGTTGGCGAGGCGGGCGCGGATGCGCTTGCTGACCAAGATACTCGGGAAAAGTGGCAGAAGATGGCTAGCAGCGAGGTGCACAGTGCTATCAAGGCATTGCCACGCAACCAGGCTGGAGCACTTTCGCCTGCTGCCGAAGACTCTGCTTCATCGTCTGGGTAAGGAGTTGTTATAATTATTATTATTATAATTATTTTATCGTTACTACTGCTACTGCTATTTTTATTTCCACTGCGCTGGAAGAGGGCGTGGGGGAGGGGGGGTTCTTTTTTGTCCTAACTGGCGCACCATGACGGTGTGTCATGGGGAAGTGGGGTTTAGTCCAAAGCGAGGTCTCATGATACCACTGGGTTTTTGACTTGATTTGTGCTCTTGCTTTTCTTTTGGCATGCATGGCGTTTATTCGGTAGTAAGCGTAGTAGATATGATGTAGTCGTTTTTTTTCCTCTCCCCTTCCTTCCTTGCGTCGAGAACGCAAATGAATATTATTTGAGGTGCGGCAAAACATTTGCCAGTAATCACTTTGTGCATGCAGTTTTGGTTCTAGCTACGAGGTGATGTTACGCATATATTTCGTTGAATGAAGGGGTTGGACTTGCTTGATGCAATTCCAGCAGAGCATTGCACATCTTTTTTCTCGTGCACATGTCATGTTTGACTTGCTTTGTGATTTGTTATGGCTAGCTCACAGTTTAATGGTATTCTTCCTTTTCGTTCTCAGGTCTTGATTGCTGAAACGCGTACTCACATCCATCCTCTCCTTTGTTTCTCTTAGTACTCGTTCCTCCGGTACTCATTCTCCCCATAGCCCTGTTGCTGGTATCCCTGCTGTTGATATCCATGTTGCTGGTGTCCCTGCTCTTGATATCCCTGTTGCGGATACCCCTGTTGATAGCCTTGGTATTGCTGTTGTTGCTGTTGTGGCGGTGGAGGATAATTTCCACCCTGGTACTGTGGTGGAGGTGGTGATTGCTGGTGATACGATTGGGGCGGAGGAGCATACTGCTGGTCTGGTCTATACTCTTGATGCTGTGAAGCAGGAGGATGAGGAGGTCTTTGTTCGTATGCCGCACCACCCCCACCTATGTTCTGCTGCACAGGGCTCCCCACGCTGACATTCTCGTTGCCAATGTCGTCTGGCACGCTGATTTTGACGTCGGGGAGGTACCGCTGGACTTTTTGCTCCACCATGGACTGCACAAACACCCAGCTTTCGCGCTCGAAGCGACGGTGACCACCGTTGACGACGCCGAGAATGCTCTCGCGGAGTGTCTCTTGCACTTTGCGGACAAGATCGCGGATCTTGCCGAGGAGCTTGGCTTTG